TACAGATTCTTATTTTGAAGTTTTTTCACAAAATACAGATTTTCATATCACAACTTACAGATTTTCACTTGGCAAAATTGCAGATTTTTAATTTTTATCTTATTTCACAAATTACAGTAAATCATTAACTATGCCCAGTTTTAATACATCAATGTCACTTTTTGTATAACAGGCTTTTCCAGGAAATTCAGGAAAAACTGACACAGTGAAAAACAGTTTAAAGGAATTTGCAAGTGCAAAGTTTATACGTTTTCTGCCAACAAAGTATAATAATTTCAAAGTTCTGAGAGTTGAGGCTTATGGAATACTTTTTTCTAAAGGTATTTATGTGTTCTCATTTTTATCCCTCTGTTGGAGGTCTAATTATAAGGGAAATTAGGGCGAGTTTCTTTCATATATGGAGGACCAACTATTGCACAATAAGTTGCCACTGCACTGTTAAATGAAGTGTTAGTCAGATATCATTAACAAACTTCTCATCAATTATCAGCTATGCATAGAAGCATACATTTTACATATCTTTATGTTTATTTCAGTTCCATCACAGCCTCCTACTGCCTTCAAGCTGACTGCAACGTCTTCTACCAGAATTGCAGCTTCCTGGCAGTTACCTCCAGTCTTTGCCAGACATGGAAGAACCATAACTGGTTTTAAACTGTTCTACAAAGAGAAAGTTTCAGGTGTGTCAATGTCCAAATTGACCATAAGCGGGGAATCCACACTAAGTAGAAATGTCACTGGGCTTGATAAGTACACAGAATATGAATTTCAAGTCCTCGCTTTTACTTCTGATGGTGATGGACCAAAGAGTTCTGTTGTGGTGGAAAGGACAATGGAAGATGGTATGTGACAGATTGATAATCTTATTGATGTATTTATAGTTTGCTGGACAGTATGTTCATCAAGAATACAGAGCCATGCAGTTACTTTTGAGTGAATCAATGTAGATTTTCTCAAAAAATTGAAAACTTACAGCAGTGATGTTGAAGTGGCAAGTAGAGAATTAACATCAGCTATTTTAGAAATTTTTACAAATAATTAAAACACAGTTACAGTGATTAGAAAAGTGCCAAAATGTATCCACTAAGTAATCGATCATCTTTATTGGGAGGCTGATTTCTTCATTGTTGATATGTCAACTTATTTTTCACTCATTCTTCTTGTTTTTTTATTATTTTGTTCAACCAAATGAAATTAAAAAGAAAAAAAACAAGTTACATGTATCAGTTTGCTTTCTTGCTGAAATCTTTCTTTTAACTCTTGATGCCTATAGTTCAAAATGGCTCTTCCTCTGTGTTTTGTTGTTTAAATTGTTTTGTCAGGAAATGATGACTCCTCAAACATTAGTGTTTGTTGGAGAATTTTTAATACTCCAGTTGATGTTACCAAAGAATTTCCATTATTCTGAGTGTCATTTGATTCAATCATTACAATGAAGTTGCAGTGTTATAGTCAGATTATTACCAAGAAAAAAGTTTCTGATGTCACAGAAGCTAGTTGGCTTATTGAAATGTTTCCAAAATGTAGTTGGTGGTCTTTCAAAAGGGTATAAAAATGGTCCCAGTAATATTTGTATCTGGATGTGATTTTTCCTATCATATGATTAAGTTTTATGTGGAAGGTGTACATACCTATTAAACAAAGTAGTTCTTGTCATGTGGTTATGTTATGCAGTTTATTTTATAAAAAAAAGATGTTTTTCTTAAATTTTACATATAATTTACTCCTAGTTTAAAATAGTCTTTCCTCTCTTTAGTTTTCTCTCTGGTGGCTTTATTGGTACCATAAATCAATTTAGGTACATGTATACTGTATAGGCCTGTTTTATGGTATTTCTCTGTTTCTATTGGTCCCTATGTTGTCAACTTTTAAGGCCTTTACTGCCTTTGAATACACACTTTATGTTGTGTATTCATTCAGTGGAGACACTCACTCTTTTGATTGCAGTACCATCACAAGCCCCTAAAAGTTTGACTGTGACCGCTGGATCATCTACAACTGTTACAGCTTCCTGGCAGTTGCCACCATTAGACTCCAGAAATGGAATAATCACAGGATTTAAATTGTTCTACAAAAAGAAAACTGCATCAGGTTCATTAGCCATGTTAAGGATAGACAATGGTGCTATTCATGATAAAACTGTCATTGGATTGGATAAGAACACAGAATATGAATTTCAAGTGTTGGCCTTCACTTCAACTGGTGATGGACCAAAGAGTTCTCCTGTAGTGGTGAGAACCAGGAAAGATGGTAAGAATCTTAATGATGGGTGTGAATGTTATGCATTAAGTTTGTTCCTTACAAAAGATGGGGACCTGATAATTGAATAAATAATAGTAGCAGAGCTTTGGATATTAACTCTAAAGCTTCAGTCTCGATATTAATTGAATATTATTTAAGGTGGCTCTTCCATAGTTCAGAGTATGCAATTGTGGTTGACAGGTTAGGTTGAAAACCTACTTTGCTTTTATTGAGTGTTCTTCTTTCTCTGGTAGCAAATTGATATATTTTAAAAAATTAAGAGGATTGGCCTAAAATTTGAGTCAAATACTCTTGGGGAAAATCAATCAAAAATACCTTGTATGCAAGGGGTTTCTATTCTTCTGGTAATGTGAAGTGTCGTAGGCATTGATAAAATTTTTATTAGGTTGGAATTTTTGTGAAGTTAATTTGAAGGAAAAGTTTGGAAGTAGGGAAAACAAGTACACAAGAATAACATGCTTTTGTTGAATTAATTACCTCTTGCAATCAAACGTCTGCACAACTCTACACATGATTACATATGTAACTTACTCAAAGTGGAAAGATTTGTTTCCATATCCTGAATATGGAAGTAATCTTTGCAGTAATGAACACTACTTAAGCAGTAGTGAAAATAAGGCCTGGAAAAAATTGAAGGCTGTACAGGATTTGAACCCACAACCTCTGTGATACTGGTGTAGTGCTCTACCAACTGAGCTAAGAAGCCAACTAGGAGCTGCTCATTACTGGTATGATGGTTCCAAATAAACCCATGAAGTGATGAACAAATGACTTTTTTCCCCTAGGCCTTAATTGCCAGGTATTTTCTCTACTGCTTTAATAGTGTTCATTACCACAAATATTGCTTCCATATTCATTTCTTAATCCACATTTCACATATATGATTTTCATTTATTTACAGTCATTTGTAAAACAACCTGTTTGGTCTACTACTATATGACCCAAAGCATGAATTAACATTAAGGTTGCAATGTTTCAGGAAAGGTTCACAAGCTTGGTTAATTGAAAGAGCTGGCCAAATTGTGGGCACACGCAAACTTTGATATTATTGTCATTTTATTACCTAAATCATGAAAACATTGCACTTAAGAAATTCCTGAATACTGGTGTTGAGAGTTTTACCCTCTTAAACCCTTCCACATGTACATGAATGATTACATTGGGTGGTTGTGATTTTATGTTTTTTACATTTTTTTCAATGTGTAGGAGGTTGTGTTGAGTTTTATCTTGGAATGGAAAATGGAGCAATTCCAGACAATAAATTAACTGCTTCTACCGAACAAAGTGCCAACACACCAGCCAAGAATGGTCGAATGAACTATGTGTCAGGATCATCATGGTGTGCAAGAACAAGTGACACCAACCCATATCTACAGATTGATCTTCAGACACTTCATATCATCTGTGCTGTGTCCACCCAAGGGAATTCTCAAGCAGATCAGTGGGTGAAGACCTACACTCTACAATTATCCACAGATGAGAAAGTTTGGACAGACTATAAGGAATTAGGTGAACGGGTTAAGGTATGCCACATGGGCTAGTTTCAAATTATATGATATCTTGCCTCAATCACTGTTCCTGAGTTTTGATAATATTGAT